ACCCCAACTCTTGTCATTTCTCACTCTGTCCAAGGAGTCACCATTGTCTCTGTTCTGGTGATGAAAACAGCTTCCTGGGTCCCTCCTACTTCACTGTCCTATAATCCATTCTTCACATGGTAGCCACGGTGGTCTTTCAAAACCAGTCAGTCCTCAACAATTACCCCATTTCTTTTAAAAATTGGTAATTTCTTACCCTGCCATACTGCACAATCTGTAGTTTTCTGTCTTTTCACCTAATATCATATTTCTTCCTCTCACCGCACTCTACCACATTGGTCTCTTTTCTGTTCCTTAAACCTGTCAAATTTGTTCCTACCCTTGCACTTGTTATTCTGTCTCTCGGGCAGGGCCAGCTTCATGTACATGCTACCTGCGCCTCATGCCCCGAAGGACCCTGTAATTGGTTTAATGTTTTACTGTTGTCATCTTGAAATTTTTAATAATTTTTGAACAAGGGGCTCTGCTTTTTCATTTTGCTCTGGATCCTACAAATTATGTAGCCAGACCTGCTTTCAGGGATGGTGTTAGCTAGAGGTCTCCTGCTCAGAGAGGCCTTCTTTGGCTGCCCAACCTTCCAAAGTAGAACCTCCTCGAACAAATTACTTCCCTCCCACTGGAATGTAACATGAGCTCCCAGAGAGCAGAGAGTGTCTGTTCTGTTCCTGCCTTATCTTCAGTGAACATAATAGGTGCCCAATATACATTTGTTGAAAAAACTATTGGAAGTAAGAGAAGTAGTGTGTTGGGTGTAATGAGAATTTTAGACTGTATTTGGTATTTATATACATCCTGATCAATAATTAAATTGATCTCCCTCAATTTATACAGATAAATTCTGACTCCATGATGAAGTTAAGAGGGATATAATTTCCACATATTGTATTCAAGCTACCTCTTTTTCATGAAAGATTTTGAATTCTAGATGTAATGCCTTCTTTTGCTGCCTTTGTTATATGAGCCTAAAATAGTAATTTTAATTTAGTCTGAATTTTTAAAAGAAGTTGTTGGTCTACCTTCCAACTACAGTGTGCTCTATGGCTCAATAAAACATTTTCATTTGTATTAACTAAATTGACCTGCTTGCAACTCTATAAATGAGATAAGATAGCTATAATGCTTTATTTTACAGATTGATTCAACTCATTCATACACTCAAACTATGATGAAGCTTGGTGAGAATAAGCGAATGATAATCACAGAACTTTAGAACTGGGAGTAATAGTTATGATTATTTCTTCCAATTATTTCCTATTTTTAGACAAGGACATAGAGAACCGGAGTGCACAGTATGGCAAGGATTTTGATAGAACCTGATCTCTTAAATCAGTGAGGACCAATATATCACCATTGGTCCTCTGTCTATCATTGAGTTAACCAACTTTTGCCTGCAAAGGGGATAATTTTTAAAGGAGAATTGATACTCCACTGCTAAAATTTTGCTTTTTAATGTAAATTCTGTCCTTTAAAATTGTTAAATGAATGGCTGAATAAGTCAGGGTAAGAAATAAAATAAGAAGGAAAGAAGGAAGGAAGGCAGGGAGGAAGGGATGGAGGGAAATGAATCTAGTGAAATGAATTACTATTACAGTCTACATGAATGATTTAGTTGCATCTTTAAGCTCTGTCTTTTATTTTGCTTCTCTAATGGGATCCCTTCCTGATTTTTGCTTTGTTGTTTTTTACTGGCGGCGAGTGGGGTGTGGGGAGTGGTGGGGAATGCCTCCTCCTACTTTGGAGGGACATCTACCAGGGCAGCCCTCTTGTCTCTTACCCTCCCAAGCAGAAGTAAGTTATTTGACTCATGAGAGAATCTATTAGTTCATGGATCTCAACGGTAGTGGAGAATTCATTAGGTATTTCCTCGCTTTCCTTTTCTCTCTAACCTTACTGGTGCAAGACAGAAAATCCCAGCTTTTCTACAGGACACATGCAGGGCTCCTGGGCTGCTCAATTCCAGGGGACCACTGACCTTGTGTCCTGGAATTGGATGCCACGTGAGAAACAGCACTAACGGTGCAAGCTTCCTGTCAAGTAGGTGTCCCAATGGGAAGCCCAAATGTTGTCTGGCTACGCCAGTGCCAGAAGGGGTGGGGATGGGGGCAAATGTAATCTGGGTCAACTTATTAGCAAGTCCATTATGCCACATATCTAAGAAACTCTGACCAAACCTGAACTTAGCAACTTAGCTTAACATTTTGTTGTCTATCTGTTTTACTCTATTTCTTGATTGATACCGAATGCATCTTCTTAACTAAGATGACCTTGCTTCTAGGTCTCCTTAGTTACCAACTAGATATTTATAATATTTTATAATCTACTTAAATCTTGAACATAACGATGTCATAATTACAAAAGTAACTGGATTTTTATGATGTATTGCTTAATCTTAAGAACAAAATGGCAGCTGTGAAAACAGATGAAATAGAGGAAGAAATTATTTCTTTTTGGAAGCTTCAAGATAGTTTAAAGATAATTTGTACTAGTTAGCAATAAAGTTCTCTTCTCAGAAATTACACTTAAAGGGGGAACATGGGTTGCAGTAAAAACCTGTCTGCACTAGAGGATGAGCCACCGGATTTCCTAAACAACTGGTTCCATTTTCAACAAAATTTGGATTTGTTGAAAAAGAACGATGAGCCATGAATGACCTCAAACGGGCCCAAACTCGGACAACTGCCAACTACTGAGCAAGGGTTCTCAGAGTTGTAGTAGCACTGGATAATTTCCTATAATTTTCAGAACAGTGTTCTCTCTTCCTAAGAACCACACCTATTTCATATTGTTGCATATGTTTTTAATTAAAGAAATTTACTTGCCTGTGTAAGAATATGCATATCATAAATTTAAAATTGAAAATATTTTTAAGGCTTTAATGAGTTCTATTAAAACATATTCATGTAAAATAACGAGGTCGTTGTTCCTGATCATGTGCACAGCCCGCCCTCTAGCGTTTCTTTGTAAACCCTACCAAACGTTAAACCATACTCTTAATCTCAGAATATTAGGTTAATAGGATTAAGAACTGTGTCATCAAATTAATAGAACAGGCCAAATCCCTGACATGGATGAAAACTAAATCAGAGAAAAGCGAAGATTCTTTCAGAAGCAGGTGTTAACCTCACTGGAGAGAGACTGCAAAGTTAGTGGTAAATATATTTAAAAGTTTCATTTGGGAAACAGAGTCTTAATAGAAAAAGAGTAGCTAGTCCAAATGATAGATATAGATGTGTGTAAAATGTGATAACTTTGTAACTACTAGTGCCAATATTGTTTTATTATGTTACAAAGACATTACGAATGTTGGTTAAATATTTTTTTTCCAAAATAGCTGATAGACATACGCAGATAATTAACATTTTATAGATTTAACATTATTAAAGCATACAGCTGTTTTAATTCATTTAACTTTTCTTAGTAAAGTTTTAAACATTTGGAATGTTTATAATTAACTTATATCAAATTAAATTTAAAAGGAAATCATTATCTGAGAAGAAAAAATTTAACTGTTCACTGTTCACATATCTTGATGGGTTTTATAAGAAGTACAAGAAAAATGTGTGAGGTTGTTTTGCTTTCATAAAAAAGTATGTTATAAAAAAATAAGTAGTTAGCCATCTAGGTGAACACTCCCTTGAGGATTCCAAATTGGAGGGGGGAAAAATCCTTTAGATATATTTTAACTAATTCTGCGTTTGGGGATGTTGACAAGGAAATAAAATGAAGTTTAGATTCTATGTGGTTGTGAGCTATACTATTTCAAGGACTTCAGATGATACTCTTATTTAACTGTCATAAAGAATGTACACAAAATAGAGACAATAGAGACTTGGGTTGTCTTTTTCTTTTTTTTAATTTATATTCCTTATGTCTCAGGCCTGTTAGCATGAGTTGTCTAAAATCAAAAAGAAAAACTGACAGAAAAATGCTTGGGATCACCATGTGTTTTCAATTGCTGCAGACAGAATGTAACCTAATGGCAGGCATTTGATGCAGGTTTATTTTTCCTTTGCAGTAACAGCGGGAACATGAAGCTGCCACTCTTGGTGTTTACTGTGTATCTACTGTGGTTGAAAGATTGTCACTGTGCACCTACTTGGAAAGACAAAACTGCTATCCATGGAAACCTGAAGGGTATGTTTAGTTTCTTTATCTGTGCTGTGTCTTGTTTGCATGTTTGCATGTCCCGCTGGCACAGTGATTTACAGTTGAGAGATAACCGTATTCATTATGGCCCTCTAGTTTCACGGTGAGACGTTCTCTAGGCACTTAAACCAAGTAGACGTGACGCCAAACATCTGGATAAAAATAGAAAATTCCAATTGAGTATCTGAGAACATTCACATGTCCAGATGTTTGCTGTCACACAGATAAAACTTGCCAACTTTTTGACTTCATTTCTTGGTTTCAGCCAGATGTTCGGTGTCGTCTAAGCACAGTTTTAATGAACAGTGAAATTCTTTTCTAACATTTGAAAAATTTAAACAATTAAAGTAATCTGTGCAGTTATTCTTGAGATAATTAAAGAATGGGTTATAATGACATTGAATCTGGTTGGCCTGTGCTTATTAACTTCTGACCTTTGCATGATAAATATATGTTTAACACTTAGAAAAATAAGGTAAGTTAAAATGTTGCTTTGGGGGGTAGTCTATGATTAAATTTGGAGGCAAGAATAAGCTCCTTAGGAAGCCACATTGGCTATTGTGAAGAAAGAATGACAATGAATTTTATAGTCACTAAGGGCTTATTATAGGTATGTAAGAGATGTCCACTAGGTCATTAAAGAATCTTGCATTCTGTGATATACTTTTTAGTTTTGATGCCTCCTGGGGAGGTAATTAAAGCTAAAAGAAAGGGAAATTGTTCATGGTGTTTGAGGTTTCCAGTTGGGCATTTAACATAAACTGAGGGGGAAAAAAAATTGAAATTTTTTCTAATATAAACACACTTGAGTTTTAAGTGAAAGAAAAAAATGGATAAATGAAAATGGGCCTTGAAAATGGCAAGAATGAGGTTAAATGAACTCTGACTTGTCTAGGAGCTCAGCAGTGAGGAACAGAATGTATCGTCCATGTGGCAGCTGGGTCCATGTGGCAGCTGACAGCTAATTCATTATGATCTGCTTTCAGAGTTTGATGCTATAAAAGAACAATTAAGCCTCTCTTTAGGACACATGAAAAACTGGTGAACTCATTGTCTTCTGATGCAGATAGAGATACAGATACATTGTAATCTGATCAGATCTCAAAGAAAATAACTGCACATACCTTTTAGGTTTTTCTGAGGCTGGGGAGATAGATGTAGATGAAGAAGTGAAGAAGGCTTTGATTGGTATGAAGCAGATGAAAATCTTGATGGAAAGGAGAGAGGAGGAACATACCAATCTGATGAAAACCGTGAAGAAATGCAGAGAAGAAAAGCAGGTATAGTAATTGAAAATAATATCTGTTCTTAAATATATCTGGACCATAAATATTGTATTTGTTAGGGCAATTGATGAATTACTTATTTTCCCTAATACCAGATTTTCTGGAGAGAAGCTCTTATTGGAGGAAAAGTTTGAAGGTAATTTAAAATTTCTTCAAAGAACATATTCCTTGTAGAATAGGACTTTGCAGGACTCCAAAAGCAGGAATTTCAGGGATTCATCTCTATTTGGAAAGTGCTACTTTCTTAAAAGTGCTTTACCAGTAGGTAGTTCCTTTCAGTTTAGGTTACTGAGTCAAAAGTGTTTTTGGCTAGACTAGTGGTCTCCAAAGTTTTTTGATCTCCTATCCCTATTACTAAATATATACATTTTAATTTATTTATAAATTAGAAATGTGAATTCTACCACTAATAGCTCAAGGCACAAAATACACCTAAGGCGAGGTTAGGTTCATGGTTAGCTAGGATGGATGTAAGTTTACACTTCAAATAATCTAGATATTTTGAAATTTTTAGCCGACTTGCCAAATCTAATTAGATCATCATATTTTTACTCTGTCACCTAGCTAATAAGGAGCTCAGAACGAAGGACTGTCAGCTCTACCATTTGCTTCTTGTCTTCTTGAGCTGAAATTATTCGTATTTTTTTTTAATCTGCCAGATTTTTCTTTTCAAGAATATTTTTATCCTCCTATTTATTTACCAAGGACTAGTGTAGTTAAAACTAGATAATAAAAATGATAATTTAACTGAGTCATCTTAAACAGCAATTCATTGCCATTGGCTGTAAGTGAACAGAAAGAGAAGGAGCCAGTGTCGGTGCTTGTGGAATGTGGAGGGCCCCTCGTTCCCAGGGTCCGTGCAATGGTCTGATGTAAGCACAACAGAGCACCAGTGCATGTGGAACAGTACATTAGCCTAATCAGTTTTTATTCAAATACCTTTACTTAATAACTGTAGTTCAAATTAAGTATCTTACCGATGGAGAATACACATTATATCCGAACGTCTATGGATGATGTTAAAAATTGTTTATGTGTTACAGTTATAAAACTCAATACATTTCTAAATTATAAACATTGCATGGCTCATAGTTTAACAGCACTGACCACTGACATAACACTCAAAACAATTTAAAAATTTTTAAATTATTTTCCAATATTACCCTTAAATCGAAGAAATAAAACTGTAAAAAAAAATAACTTGGAAAATATTCTAAATTTTAACATTGAGAATAAATTGTTTTTAAAATTTGTTTTCATTAAAAGCTTTTTAATTGTAAATACACATAACATAAAATTCACCATCTTAATCATTTTTTATGTGTACAGTTCACTGGTGTTAAATACATTTACATTGTTGGACAACAAATCTCCAAAATTCTTTCCACATTGCAAAACTGAAATTCTATGCCCGTTAAACAACTCTCCATTTTTCCTCCCCACAGTCAATTTTTAAATTAAAAAATATAAACAGAAGTTCTAGTATTTCCTTCCTACCCTACAAAGTTGGGGGCCACTGAGTTCCCGACAGCTACTGGAGTTCTCTTCACTTCTCAGCACTGTGTCCTCTGGGTGTCCTGTGGCATAGTGCTGTGTGACAGGCTGACTGCAAAGCTGTAGTCAGCTTGTCAACAGACTGGTTGATGCTGTGGCCACACCTACACCCTCCTCGTTTAGGGTCCCTAGCAAGGAAAGTAAATTGCCCGATCAGCAGCTGAAAGCCCTCCTCCCTTTGGGAGCAAGCAAAAGACTTTCAGGAAATTAAAAATAACTCCTCATGAGGAAAATGTGGAAGTCCCTTGAGCTGAGTTCTTCCCTGGTGGGTTTGTGAGTCTGGCCACTGGGAATAATGATACTGGATATCATTTATAGGCCCTTTATAAACACATTGTCACATGGAATCTGGGTAAACCATTACTGTCATTTACAGCTAAGCAAACTGAGGCTCAAGATGTTAATTAACATGTTAACCCAACTCAGTAATGAATGACCAGGGAGAAAGTCAGCAGCTGCTGTGCCTGTTGGACCCAGCGACTTTCTGTTTTTCTCCTTTTCCCCAGCTTCCTAGCAAGCCAAAGTTGTAGTACTATGAAAAGAATGCTCCAGTTAGGGGTGGGGCAAGTAAGCAAGTGTTGGTTTCAGTTCTGGCCCTAAAGAATGTTAGGACTCATGGAATTTTATTCTTAAAAAACTACTTATGTACTGTCGACATAAGAAATGTCCAAACCTGTAGAGTATCTTAATGAGTTTATCTGAGCCAAACTGACGACAATTGACAGGAAGCAAAATCACAACAGATTAAGAAAATGCTCCAGAGAATGGCAGTTTTGAATTTTTTTTTTTTTTTTTATACACTGGAATCAAAGGAGAAGGTCTAAGAAGGGTTACATGACAACCATTGGTGGTAGATTAAGGGTGTGGGGAAAAGCTAAGTAGGAAAATCTCTGGGGCTGGATAAAAAGTAAAACAGAGAGACACATTCTTCTTTTACATTAGTGGGTACCCGAGGTAAAAATTAACGTTTTACAGCACATAGAGATTACGGTATTAGAGGACAAGATAACAATTAGGGGTTCTGTGACTCTGCTCTGGTACAGTGGATGTGCCCTCAGGGGTCTGGAAAAAAAGGGATTACTCTGACATTCCAAGAGTATGTTATCTTAGTCGCAAAAAGACAATAGTCAGGCTCAGTTAAGGTAAAGATTGGCTTTTGTCAAGAAAGCTACAGGTTTAGAATGTGACTATTGGTCATGAGTGACCTGCTTTTACTTAGGAATTTTTATGTTCAGATCATCCTATGGGGTTAATTATGGTTTCTGAATTTGTAGGGCCTGCCATGCTGGCCACCCTGAGCTTGTCAGATTAGTATGTGGCCTCTTTCTCATCCACAGTAGAAAAATTTATTGAATCATACTCTGCAGGTCTAGACACTCAATTAAAAAGTTAATTAAAAAAAAGAAAAAGCTGTTTAACCCTGAGTCTCCCTCTCTAAAATTATTTTAAACCTAGAATAAAGGATACTTTAGACAAACTATGAAATGGCAAGTATGGAGTCGGCACCGCCAGTCTCCCATCACGGAGCACTTCTCCTCTTCAGTTGACCCAGCGTCATCACAGTCCCTCTTCTCAACCTCTTCTTATTAATACTTAATGATAGTATCTGAAACTCATTTTACTTAAATGGAAAACCCTAGAGTGGCTTAAATGTGATTTGCCCCCACTCCAGGTTTATATGGGACTTCGATAAGCTGTAACTACAAGAATAGATATAGACTCTGTCAGTGGGTGGGACATTTAGGGGGATATGGAAGGGATGGACAAGGCCTTCCTGAACTAGAGATCTACTTCCTCCATGACAACACTTCACTACCTAAACTTGGGACGTAGGACTTGGTAATTGGTTTTTGTTATACACTTGGAGGCAAGCGGAAGGAAACCCAAGATACTAATAATAATGTGCTAGGTGCCTTGCTTACTTGCTTATCTTCTTTAATACAAAACATTAAAAGGTAGATCCTATTGTTATTCTTTTTTGCTAAGGAGTAGACTAAGGCAAAGAAACGTTAGGTAATTTGCCCAAGGAAATATTGGGATTTAAGCTTATATTGACAATGAACAGAATATTTAAATCTGGGACTTGAGAAAATCTGTGTGGTATTGTTGCCCGCCAAGGTGAGGCAACCTTTCTTGAGAAGATGTTGGGCTCCAGAATTGTTCTGCAAAGCCCAAGGGGACAAGAAAATCCTGTCTGGGTCACAACATGCATTTGGCAGGCCAGGGCCCTGCCAGTTTTGTTATGTGGGTCATAGCAAGTGCCACCTGGCTTAGCCTCAGGATTCTGCCATGAGGGCAGCTGCACAACGCAAGCCCAGCAAAGGAGATGCAGAATACTATCCAGGTGTTTCTTTAGGCTTAATATGCCAGAGAAGGATGAATTATTTTTCTTTTCCACTAGATGAGAATGCACACTAAATTGGTTTTAAGTACAGAAACTTTGCTCCCTCATGTAGTTTTTACTGCAGGGGTGGCCATTAGCTTTGAAGCTGTTATCTTATGGATGGATCTATTATATCCTGTAATTCCCCTGAACTACTTCTCAGGCATCAAAGGAGCCTGTCTTCAGAAGTCCACATTTGCAGGGAGGCCAGGAGTCTAAGTAGGGGTGCCGGCATGGGGGGAGCTCAGGGGACAGGGCTGAAGTTCTTAGGGACGGGTGTCACTTCTGCTGGGCTCCCTATCACCTACAGTGGGACCTGGCCAAGTATAGGAAAGTACCACAAGGGGGAGTGCTTGGAATATGGACAAGAAGAATGAAGATACTTAAATACAGCATCTCTGTAATTAGAATTAACTCAATGGGAGGGTTTGGTTTCATATACGAGAATTGTGCTTTCTTGCAATATTAAACATACATAAAAATTAAAGGCTGTATAAATGAACAAAATAAATGTGTCAGCTTTCTAAGCCTTAAAGTTGCTTCCCACATCCCGCAAGGACTAGATGTGAAGACACACAAGTAAACAGGTTAATTACAGTTGTTTCTCAGAGTAGGAACTTCATTGTTGGTTCACCTACATCTAGAGTAATGTCTATCTCATAGCAAGCACTCAATAAATACCTAGTGAATGCATAAATGAACAGATGGATAAGATTTGTAGTCTGCAATAAGGATCAATCATTTCTCTTTTCTTAATCAAAGAGAAAGCTTTGGAGTAGTTCTGTCAGCTGCCAAGGGCCTGAAGAAGGAATGAAGAAGTGGTTTAGGATAAGCACATTTTTAAGGAGTGAATCAACTAAGGTATATGCAAAGTCATGAAATGGAAATAGGATATTTGTTTCTACTTTTTAATTAGGAGGCCCTGAAACTTATGAATGAAGTTCAAGGACATCTGGAAGAGGAAGAAAGGCTATGCCAAGAGTCTTTAACAGATTCCTGGGATGAATGCAAACCTTGCCTGGAAAATGATTGCATGAGATTTTATACAACCTGCCAACCTAGTCGGTCCTCTACGAAAAATACGGTAAGGGGAAAATAGAGCTCAAGATTTCAAAGTTCTTAAGGTATCGGCTTCAGCTTACTTTTAAAAAATTAATTTATATTAATATTTAGACTAGAGATACCTGAGCTCGTATTGGCCTTTTGCAATCTAGACTCTAACATTCATTTATGCTTATGTAAGATTCACCTGTGTATATACAATTTATAAGTTAGAACAGCTATTCAGTTTGTCCCTTCTTTAATGATGCTGTCTGTATCTCTTTGAAGCACCCTGACTCTTTCTGCCTTGTATTTGTTATTTGTGAACACGTTCCCACTAGACTGTAAGCTCTTTGAAGCAAGGGACCATATCTTATTTATCTTCATTAAAACATCACAGCCATTCAATAAATGTTTGCTGAATTGCATTCTGAATAATAGTATTACGGTCTCTGATTTCAACTAGCTTTAGTTTTTTTTCCTGGAGGCCAAAGATTTGAAGACATTCTCGACCTCCCAAATTTCTCCTTCAACAGGCTTGCCCTCAGCATGCACGTGCACGTACACATGCGCGCGCATACGCACACATACACACATCCATATCCCCTTTAGCCCTACCCATGCATGTCCTATAGGACTAGCATGTTTCCTTTTTTGTCCCCTTTAGTTATCTTCTGGACAGAGAGATCACTGAGGGAGGTGACCTGAATTGGATGAGCTCTGCCCCATAAAAGTCTCCTACTCTATTGGCCTGAATTTCCCTTCCCCTTCAAGAAGTGAGCCGAATATGAAATGGAGTATTAGAGCATGCAGTAATTAGAGTATGCTCCTAGCTTGGCAGTGCCATAACCAATTATAGAGGGAGCAACCCTTAGGATGATTCATATGCCAAGTTAATTTGCCTCCACTGTTAATTGCATCTGCTCTATTTTTATAGCCACTGTCATTCTCTAATATACCAGAATATGGTGGAATAAGCACCGGCTGGAAGTCAGGAGGTTTAGGGACCATTCCTATCTGTGTCAGTTGTGTAGCCTTATGAAAATTTTTTTGGGCTTTAAAGTTCTGTTTTTGTAAGTGGATTCAGGTAAACAGAAGCTGGCAGAGGATAAGGCAGAAGATCCACCCAGATTATTTTTTGAGGAAGGCATATGTCCTCTAAGAATTCCTGGTGAATTCTTTGAACAGCACTGGGGTGCTATAGTAGTGATGTTCAGTAGTTGTTATGTTCCTTATCATGCAACGTAGCCAAAAGGGCATGAGCTTAGGTGTCACGTAGAAGAAATAGAGCGTGGTGCAACTGCTGGAAAATCTCCCAGTGAGTAGGGAATTCTATAATTAGAGCTTCATTCCTTTCACTACAACCAAGGAGAGCTTTAATCACTGCAAATAAGTAACTATCCCTAAGTAGCCTATTAGGCTGTATTAAGCATTTATAGTTCAGTGTGAATGTGTTGATGAGATGAGAAAGAGGAGAACATAAAGACACTAATGATATTTCACCAAAGCAAAAAGAGAGAGAGAGAGAGAGAGAGAGAGAGAGAGAGAGAGAGAGAGAGCTGAGACACTAAGAGGTGAAAGACAAAAGCCTTTTTTACATATTTTAGGCAATATACATGGTGCCCTTTAGAATATGGCATGCCAACCACCACCAGTACATCAGGCTGTGGCTTGTTGACAATATTGAAAACTTGGCCTTTTTAGATCTTTGATAGGCAAACATAAACCAGAAGGAATTTTCAACCTTTCTCCATCGTCAAAGTCAAAGCCAGTACGAGAATGTTAATAAAATAATTTTAAATTAAATTTCCTTTTCTTAGTTTGCCCAGAATTGTTCTTGATTTAGAAATTGTTCTTGATTTAGCTGTAAGTTGACTTTAAAATTTATAATTAAAAAAAATCCAGAAAGAAAATTAATTTCTTATTCCATTTCTGTCCCCCACCCCACCCCACAGATTGAACAGTTTTTCAGGAAGATATATCAATTTCTGTTTCCTTTCTATGAAGATAATAAAAATGATCTCCCCGTCAATGAAAAGGTCATGGAGGAAGATGCACAGCTGGTCCAAATAGAGCATGTGTTCAGCCAGCTGACTGTGGATGTGAGAGTTCTCTTTAACAGGAGTTTTAACGTCTTCAAACAGATGCAGCAAGAATTTGACCAGGCTTTTCAGTCATATTTCATGTCAGATACAGACTTAACTGAGCCTTACTTTTTTCCAGCTTTATTCAAAGAACCAACAAAAAAGGCAGATCTTATGCAAAGTTGGGATGTTCCCAGCTTCTTCCAGCTGTTTCGTAATATCAGTCTCTCCATTTATCAAAGCGTCAGTGAAACAATTACTGAGACGCTGAATGCAATAGAGGATTCACCAAAACAAGACAAAGGTGAGTATTAAAAGATTATTTTTACTTAGATGTCTATACTAAAGTCAAGTTTTATTTAGCTTTGGGAATGGTAGATATTTCTAAGTCATCGTACATTGTTTCTGAGAGTGACAATGTATGGATAATCAAAGTTTCAGAGCCTCTTAGAAACTTTGAAGTCTGCCAGACACCATTCCTCTTCCATCATTGTCAAGAGCTCTGTGGGGCTGTTTTCTCATTAAAGCGGATTATCAAAGCTAAAAGATAAAATGCTGGTAGAGATAAGAAGTTGGAAAAAAACAGAAACAAAACGTTGCCTCCTTTTTGAAAATGCATGTAGGTGCTCAGCTCTATCCTGCTGGACCATCATGGAGTTTCTTTAAAATCAGTCTAAGCTCCTCAACTCCCAGTTTGGAAAGAAGCCTAGTGTCATGTAAAACCAGGTCACATTTAGTGCCCTCCACAGCCTCCTTTGCATCACTACTATAATTCCCTAAACCATAACATTTGTGTACAAAACCAGAGAAAGTACTCATAGACAAACCCAAAACTACAGAAATAGGAATTTTGTAAAAGACAAGAATTGCCTTCTACCGATACCACTCATGCCCATGTTCCAATATTTCATGTTGGAAAAACAATGCTGCTTTATGTTGTAAGGCAGGAAAAAGTTTCTTCAGGCTTCTGTGTAGTGGCTGGGACACAGCATCTCAGAAATGAGAGCTGCCGTGTGGGCCAATTATAGGATCTGTGTTTCCTTGGACTTATTTTCTATTGACCACTAGGCCAAGTAAAAGGCTGCTTTCCTCTGACATAAAAATAAAATGAGCTCTTTCTAAAATCCTGTCATTTGTGACAACACGAATGAACCTGAAAGAAGACATTATGCTAATGAAATAAGACAGACACAGAAGGACAAATACTGCACGATCCCACTTCTAAGAGGAACCTAAAATCGTCAAACTCATAGAAGCAGAGGGTGGAATGGTGATTGCCAGGTACAGTGGGGAGGGGGAAATGAGGAGGTATTGGTCAGAGGGTACAGAATTTGAGTTATGCAAGGTGAATAAGTACAGCATAACTCCCATAGTTAACAATACTCTATGGGATACTTAAAAATTTGCTAAGAGGGTAGATCTTATGTTTCAGTTCTTGTCAATGATAGTAATAATAAATAAGAGGGCAGGAAGACATTTTTGGAGATGATGGATAGTTTTATGACATAGATTGTGAAGAAGATTTCATGGGTATATACTCATTTCCAAAGTCAACAAGTAGTATATACTAATTACATACAGATTTTCATATGCAGCAAAAAGGCCTCCTTCTAGCTGTTTTCCAGTTATATCAGCTGTAGTTGGCAACATCTAAATCAAATGCTCAAAATTGCCATAACATTGCATAACGGGCCTCTACATAGGAGGCGCTCACCTCACACTATCAGAAACCAAAGCCAGGAAGCAATGCATTACATCCTTCCCGTCCCATTGTTCCACAAGTAGAACAGCCGTTATTACTGGAATTGTCATTAGGTTCTATTTCAGGATCTGGAAGACTTTTCTAGTAAGTCAGGTGTTTTGTCTTGTATTCCATTCTGAGATTCCAAATTCACCAAATATTCAAGAAAAGATCAGGGTAGTAGACTAAAAATATCAATGCTGGGATGATGTTGAATAATTTTTGCCTGACATTTTTAAAAGATATGAATTGCCTTAGAATAATGTTCAGAATGTGTCATTAAAACAAAATTATGCCCCCATCTCATCCTATCTTTCACACTGTGTAGCAATCTTACACATGGGTTGCTATATTCAAATGTGCACAGGAGTGCTAGTGATTCAGACAATTGAAATCTAAATAATTTTCCCACCAGTACAACTCCGTCCCACCCCACCAACTCAGAAGGTGGATTTCCATCAGTCTGCCTGAGGTTCTTCCCCCATTTACACACCCCAGGACCAGCCCCTGCTCTCATCTGGCTCATGGTTACCCTCTCCCTGCCCCTTGCAACATCTTCACCTCAGTGATAACTTGGAAATCCAGGGTCCCCTATAAATGCAAAAATTAAAAACAAAAACAAACATCAAACATAAAAGCCTGTGTTACTCCTTTATATACTTCTTTCTCCAGTATCTCTACCCTAACCAAACAGTATGCAGCAAGCTCCAAAAGAGGAGACATTCTCTTCCCAGATGAGTACATGGGGACTATTTATCAAAAATAGGCAGGCAGGAGCAGGAGGGGATTTGCATGTGGTTTCTACCACTTTTCTGGATGGGTGGTAGGTGAGGAATAAACTTATTGCCTCTAGAAAATCCATCTAACGAGAAGACATTTTGAGCTTCACCCCTTGTGCTAGGCAGAATAATAGCTTCCCCCAAATGTCTACGTCCAAATCCCCAGAACCTGTGAATATGTTAGGTTACATAGCAAGGGGAAAGTAAGGTTGTAGATGGAACTGAGGCTGCTAATGAACTGACCTTGAAATAAGGAGTTTATTCTGCATTATACAGCTGGGCCGAATATAATCACAAGGGTTTTTAAAAGTAGAAAAGGAGATAGAAATGAATTAATAGAGATGGCAGCATGAGGACTTGGCCCTACTTGACTGGCTTTGAAGAGAGAGGAAGGGGCCATGAGCCAAGGAATCCAGGCAGCCTCCAGAAACTAGAAAGGCATGGAAATGGATTCTCCCCTAGAGCCTCCAGGGAAAAACAGCCCTCCTGACACCTTGATTTTAACCTAGTGAGACCCATTTCAGACTTCTGACCTCCAGAACTATAAGATAATTTGTGTCGTTTCAAGCTACTAAATTTGTGGTAATCTGTTACAATAAAAATAGTAAACTATTACATGCCGCTTGTCAATTACAATAGCCAACATTTACTGAGTGAGTACTATGTATCTGGCAACCTTCACGGATGGACTTTATTTGCCATAATCGTCCTGAAAGCAAAAATAGAAAGCTAAAATTGAATAATGAATACTATTAAAAGGAGGAAGGTGACAATGGAAGAATTTTTTTCCTACTTTGGTCTTTTTAGACTTCAATTCCTGAATCTGTTGAAAGAGAATAAAATAGCTTGTCCTCACTTGCTTTATAAATCCCTGGAAAGAAAAGATGAGATCCTGTTCACTGAAACTGTGTGATACTGTAGCTTGACACAGTGCTGGGAGATCTGGGTTCTAATCCTACTTTAGAGGGTGTTTGCTGACCTTAATTTTCCCTTCGTGGGGAAAACAGAAACAGGTGGGAGAGTAGATGATTTATATTAGCGACGGCGCCAGAAATTGCTACCTAGAAGGGCCCTGAGGCTCTGTCACTGCGACTGAAATAAGGTGATGGCTTATTGCCATGGATACAGGATGGGGGATTGGTGTCATATGGACCTAGAGTTTACGGCCCCTGATCTATATACCAGGTATTAACCTAGATGCTGGAAATAAGACAACGATATAACATAGCCCCTGACTTTTAGGAGCTCCATCCAGAAAAAAAGGAAAACAGATCAGTGGATAATTACATTGCCATATCATAAGGGAAACAACAGAAGAAGTTATTTCGGAGGAATGGCGAGATTAAGATGACAAGACCAAATCCCTTTCCTCACAGGGCTCAGAGTCTAATAGAGAAGATAAAGCATACAGTACATAAGACAGAGATAAGTTCGACAGTAGAACCCCTCACAGGGGTTCTTGGGAGCAAGAAGAGATGCCAATAAGTCCAGAGCTGGAAGCTGGGAGGAAATGACTTTCTATTCGACAAAGGAAGTGGTTGCCTTACATACCATATGATCTAACAATTGCCTCATAGGTTTTTAAGCAATGAACTTCATAATTTATCTCAAAATGAAATGTTTCATTTTTAAATGTTGAGGATTAAATATAACAGAAAATCATCAGGTTTTAAAATAATAATAAATTTTTCCTAATGTGAAACAGTTGGGAACTGTTAGTTTTCTGTTGGATAGACTTCTTTATATAATAATTTTTTATGAATAATTAATGCTACCAGAAAAAAAAAAGATTTCTCAAAAATTGACCTGCTTCAGAGGTTTTCCTAAATATTCGATCCTCTGTTCATAACATTAAGTATATGAAATGCAAAAAGAATAGTAATAAAGTAAATCTCTATCACCTAGTTTGAGAAACAGACATTTTCAATATCTTTGGAACTCCAATGTACTTCCCCCAATAATGGCTTTACAAATTAAAATAATCATTAGTATTTTTTAATACAAGTCCAGAGAGAAAAGTGGCACAATCCCCTATTTAGTTAACCACATTGACATCAGAAATAATAATGATAAAAATAAGACACACTAAATTTAAAATAATTCACATACGCAAAGGAACAAAATTAATGAAAGCTGCCCTCTCCTACCCCATCAAGTCTCTCTCCAAAAGATAGCTACTATTAATAGTTTCTTATGATTCCTTCCAGAAAATAAAATTATATGCATTAACCTTTTTGGGGATGGGGAGAAGGGAGTGTACTAAAGTGATGAGTCATAATAATAGTAATGAGATTGCTGGATTAAAGTACATATGCAACTTTTAATAGATGTCAAATTGTCCTTGCAAGTGGTTACACCAATATGCAGTCCTATGTTTGAATATAGGAAGAAGATTTTGAAGGCACGGGTAAGAAAAAAGAAATGACATTGTATGTAGTCCTTAAAGTGCTCTAATGGCACCAATGTATAAACACCGTTACCTGCAGATGCTGACCCTAGAGGCCTGAATTCAAAGATAATGCCTGTGCGGGACAGAGGACTGTGTGGAGAACTTGGCCAGAATTTCTCGGAATGTTTCCAATTTCATGCAAGATGCCAAAAATGTCAAGATTACCTGTGGGAAGGTAAATAATTACTGGTTTCTCGGGCCTCTAATAGTATTCTGGTCAAAGGTCAAAAATCTCACTTTTACAAGCATTGTGGATTCATTTACTTCCCTTCAAGCACTTTTTTTTTGCAAGCTCATTTCCATATAGGGGTGCTCAGTGTAGGTTTATGAACTTATTATTCAAAAGTAGATGAACTCACTTTTCACCTTTTTAAAATTTCCTACTCGTTCCTATAAAAATATTTTACGGTTAAAGACCAAATAAACACTAATGTGTGCAGAAGAGAACTATGAACAAATTAGGGCAACTCTTTCCTTTTTACTGCAAAGAAAAAACCACCAATGGAGGTAATCTTTCCATTGTGTAAGCGAATTTTAGCCAGGAGAGTTTTTCTTTTTTTTTTGAAAGTGGCAGTAATCCTTTCTAGTTGATGGGTTAATTACTAACTGGTGTTTAAATATGAAAAGCGGCTTCTTCTCGAAAGCCCCAAGCCCACTTTGCTCTCCCAGATCTGACTAGGAGTGACCTTCCTGTTCCTTCCCCAGGTGAGAAATCCTTCCCTCCATCCACTTCTTGCCCCTTTTCTACCTCCCTCCCCTTGTCTTCCTGTAATTAAAGTTGCTTTTCCCAGCCAGCTAGGGTCTGAAATCACATTTTCTTACAAAAGCCTAAATGACGTTTTGATTCTGGTGCTTCTGTTTTTCACCTTGATAAGGACTTAAAGGAAAGAAATTTTTTAAAGTGTGACTAAGGGCTTGGAGTAGGAAACTGAATCTAAACTAGACCTTTCTGTCAGAGCCAATGAGGGTCTTGTTTCTCCTGAATCGCTAACTGGGTGACTCTTTGCACCTCCGTTTCATCATTTGGAAAATGGCATTAATTTATCTACTTCATATAGGTATTTTGAAGACTAAATAAAATGTCTGAAATATTAATGATTCTCATTATTCAAGTGTTTTGTTTTTTATGTCACAGTTGTAAGGTTGCATACAGAAACAAAAGTTTTTATAAGAGAAAAATATACACTAATATACTAACCACTTACAAATATAGGCCCACTCAGAATCTGAAAAACAAAATAAATGAACAAACAAAACAGAAACGAACTCATAGATACAGAGAACATTTTGATAGTTGCCAGATGATATGGGGCCTGGGGAGATGGATGAGGAAGGAGAAGGGATTAAGAAGTAGAAAGTGCCAATTATTCAAAAAAGTCACAGGGATGTAAAATATAGCATAGGTAATATAGTCAATAATTGTTTAACAAGTATGTATGGTGTCAGGTGGGTATTAGACTTATCAGGAGATCACTTCGTAAGGTATATAAATGTCTAATCACTACGTTGTACACCCAAAACAAATATATATTGTATATCAACTGTAATTGAAAAATAAAAAATAGTTTAAAAAATAGTCCCACTCAAACACCTCATCATTAACTTCCTTTCATCCAGTTTAAAACTTTGATGAATAATCTCTCACTGATTATTGTAAAATAATACAGAAGATGAGGGGAGAGGGAATGGGAGGAAGATGGTCAAAAGGTACGAACTTCCAGTTTATAAGATAAATAAGTATTAGGGATATAATGTGTAGCATGGTGACTATAGCTAATACTGCTGTATGGTACATATGAAAGTTGTTAAGAGAGTAAATCCTAGGAGTTCTCATCACAAGGAGGTTTTTTTTCTTTTCTTTTCATTGTGTCTATGTGAGATGATGGATGTTAACTAAACTTACTGCAGGAATCATTTCACGATATATGTAAATCAAGCATCATGCTGTATACCTTAAACTGATACAGTGATGTATGTCAATTATTTCTCAATAAATCTGGAAAAGATAATACAGAAGAAATCAGATAATACAGTATAAACACATCATATAATCAGTATACATCAGATAATGCATCAGATACAGTATTCAGCAGGTAACACAGAATATATGTAATGTAAATTGACTGCTGCACAAGTAAAACATAAAAGAAGGTATATTCTAATGTGTTCCCATACAATTTAAAACTTTTATTATAAAATGCATTTTAGTGTAAATATGTAAAGAATAAATAATAAAAACCCATGCGCCTATTGCCTAAATTAAGAAATAAAACATGACCAAAATGGGTGAAGTCCTCACTGTGCCCCTTCCACATCACATCCTCTTTATCCCTAAAAGGAAACTGCTATTTTGAATTTGGTGTTTATCATTTCCTTGCATTTCTCTATATTTTTATCATGTATGTTTACATATAGCACACATTACACATAGCAGTATTTTACATGTTTTTTATTTTTATATCGTCAAAGTACAATGTTTAAGCTTAAAAATATGACTGATACAATTATAAAACAAGCACGTGCCAAGATTAATTTATTCATGAGGAACCAGCAGTGTTCAAGCTGTTTCAGGAGAGTATAGGAGAGACTGCCTGAAGTATTTATAGTCAAAGATAGACAGCATGTTGAAGATTCCGAAATTAGATAAAAAATTAGTTAATGTACTAAAGGGCAATAAAACTATAATTTTTGCAGTTATCTTTTCCATCAGACCAAAGTAATTTACATCTCCACTGGACAAAAATCAGTTGCAATTTTCTAATCTATAATTTACATCTAACTGCATAGAGTCTGGCCCTAATCAACAGTAAATAGTAAATCCAACAAGGATCATTTCCTCAGGCTTTGCAGCGGTCCCCAACCTTTTTGGCACCAGGGACCGGTGCTCCTATGAGAACCTAATGCCTGAGGAGCTGAGGTGGAGCTGAGGCAGTGATGCTAGCCCTATGGAGTGCGGCAAATACAGATGGAGCTTCGTTGGCTCGTCCCAGTTCCAAACAGTCCGTGGACAGATACCGGTCCACCGCCTGGAGGTTGAGGACCCCTGCCTTAGGGAATTTAGTAATCATTGGGTGGCTCTCTTAACCAATACTTTATATGACATTGCGAGGACATGCAGCCATTCTCTTGCCTTATTTCCAAGTTTTGGATAATTTTTCTTAACAAAATAAATTTTATTGCTTATGTATTCTTTTGCCACTTGGCTCTTTACTCAGTACAGTTTGTAAGATTTAATCATGTGAACATATGCTGTTCTAATTCATTAATTCACTGTCGTATGTTAGTCTATGTATGCGTATCACAATTTACTTATGCATTTTTCCGCTCACGTATGTTTAAGTTGCTTCCGACTTTTTGCTATTACAAACAACTCTCATAGATTTTGTCAAACAATGGTTTTGCCTCTTCAATCACCGTTTGATTCACCCTTTATTCTAAAACTAAGTACATAGCTATAATTATAATCTTATACTTGATAAATATAAAATAAATGAAATATTTTCCAAAACATTATAAATCTTTTCCCCCTACTATTTATTATATATTTTTGGTCCCAGTTTTAAACAGATTCAGTATAAGTGGCTCTTTTCTTCTTTTCCCATACCAATTACTGGTACTGAATATACACACCCAAATTCAAAATAGTAGTTTCCTTTTGCAAGAATAAAGGGGTTGTGATGTGAAGGGAGCACAGGGGGGGCTTCATCTATTTGGGTAATATTTTATTTTTTAATACAGGTTGTTGGCACATGTGATTAATACTGAATAATTTCTGTCTCTGGCCCAGTTTCTGTTAGATAGTTTTATAAGACCATATAATTATCAATTAAACTGGATCTCTTCTGAAAGTGATGTAGGCAATATTAATAATTACTCAAAACAACAGGTATAAACTGGGAATGCTCACAGGCAAAAGTAGATGAAAAACAAAACGACCACAATATTCTGCAGTTTCTTAGATCAAGAGATGGAGTCTGTTTTTCTGACCTGTGAATCTGGACTTGGCTGTGGGTCTGTCTTTAGCCAATGAGATATTGGCAAATGTGACCAAAGTGGAGCCTTGATATGTGCTTGTAATTTAAGGCTTGTCCTCTCTTCCTGTCAGGAAGCCCAAGCTAGCCTTCTGGAAGATGAGAAGCCTTGGCCATACCAGCTGAGGACCCCAAATATGAATGAGGCCATCCTAGACCATCTAGCCCCAATGGAGCTGGCTCAGACATAAGAATAGTCCAACCAATGCACAAAAACAGGAGAAATAATAAATATTTGTTGTTTGATGTGCAGCAAAAACTAATGAATACATATTGTCACACTTTATAAGAGACACCTGCCAAATATGGGCTTTCTTGCTTCCTTCTCTGGAGACATTCATTCTTACATATATGTGGTGACTAAAAAATGCCTTAAAGTGCTCTGGGTCCCGCTGATCATATGAATGTCTTTTTTAAAATAACAGCTTTATTGGGATACGGTCGATGTACCATAAAACACACCCTTTTAAAGTATACAATTTAGTGGTTTTTAATGTATTCACAAAGTTGTATAACAATCACCATTATCTAATTCCAGAATAGTTTCACCCCAAAAGAAACTCCATACCCGTTAGCTGTCACTTCCCCTCCTCCCACCCGCCTCTCCTACCCAGCAGCCTCTGGCAGCCACACAGATTTACACCTGTGTTTTCTTCTAAGGGTTTTATAAATTTAGTTTTTGCATTTAGATCTGATACATTTTGATTTAGTGTTTGTATATGTGTGAAGTAGCAGTCCAGCTTCTTTCTTTTGCAATTGGATATCCAGTTATCTTAATTCCACTTATTGAAGACTTTTTTCTCCCATAGAATTGTCTTGGCACTCTTGTTAAAAATTCGTTGACAACAAATGTAAGGGCTTATTTCTGGACTCTCAGTTCTTTTCTTTATTTTAATTTTTATATTTTATTTTTTCAATTATAATTGACATACAATACTATATTAGTTTCAAGTATACAACACAGTGATTAGACATTTACATAACTTCCAAAGTGACCACCCCAATAAGTCCATATATAGTTATTACAATACTTTTGACTATATTCCTCATGCCACACTCTACATTCACATGAATATTTTGTAACTATCAATTTGTATCTCTTAATCCCTCCCCTCTTCATCAATCTCCCTACTCCTCAGTCCGG